AGCTCAGTTGGTTACCGCTATGCGGCGCATTATTCACTATCTATACCCGTATTCAAGTTTTTGTCACGAGTGTATATAAAGTCTGCAAAATGCCGCTAATAATATCCCAGTCAGCCACGTCTGTTCTAACAGATATTGCCTAGTGCTTGCTACAAATTATTGTCAGCAAAAAAGCTATAAATTTGGTACAAGAGTTGTTATTACCGATTAAGCTGGCAGATTGCCGGCAAAAACTTTCCGGTTTCATATTTATATACCTGATATATGTTTTAACACATTAATATATGATTTTATATAATGTCTAATTATCTAATGGTCACCTTATGACCAAAATTTATCATCATTTTGTTACTTAGGGTTGAGACTTTAAATCCATTTAAATATACTATTTTGTATGAATGGCCAAAAGCTGCAGAATTTGTTTGGTTTTTGCTGACAATCTGCTGTCAGATTGTCTTGCGCAGATCTTGCTCGATTTTTGCCACCAATTTGACGTCAAATCATGTCAAGCTTTGCTCGTTTTTTGCCGTCAATTTGCTGTCAGGTTATGTTAGCAAGCTTTGTCACCAAAACACAAGCTTAATGCGGACACAGATGGCACTGGATTTGTTACCAAGTTTTGAGCGAATTTGATGCCAATTTGGCAACGATTTGTTATCAAATTGCTTACTGGGATTGTAAAATATCTATTTTTATCAGTTCAATTTTTGACACGATTCCCATACAGGTAGGATGTCTAATTGGCCATTTCGTGACCAAAATTCATCGACACTTTGCTATTTAGGATTGAGATTTTAAATCCATTTAAATGTTGTGTGTCATTTTATATAAATGGCTAAAAGCTGCAGATTTTGTTCAGTTTTTGCTGCCAATCTGGCGTCAGATTGCCCTGCGCAGATCTTGCTCGATTTCTGCCGCCAATTTGACGTAAAGTCATGTCAGCAAGCTTTGCTCGGTTTTTGCCATCAATTTGCTTTCAGGTTATGTTCACAGGCTTTGCTGACAAAACATGAGCATATTGCGGACACAAATGGTACCGGATTTGTTACCAAGTTTTGACCGAATTTGATGCCAATTTGGCGACAATTTGCTATCAAATTGCTATCTGGGGCGTTATAGTCTTCTCAAAGTCCGTTGGAATTTTTTAAATGAAAATTCCTACTTTTTTATTACATGTTTTTATAGCTAACATCAAGACGTTTCAAAATGATATAAATAAATGCTTTTTGATCAAGAACTCCCTGAGTTATAAGTCTTCACAGTTTGAGTACCGCCGATATTAGCAGTATCTAAGGTGTACCTATTGAGATTGCCTGGTGGGATTTACACTTCTTTTGTGTGTGTGTGTGTGTGTGTGTGTGTGTGTGCAACATTATTTTTAAAAAATTATTACTTTGAAGATTCTGTGCAAGAGGCATCTGTTGGTTGTATATGGCCGGACTAGTTGAGAACAAGTCAGATGTGACATTTTCCACAGATCTACTCTTCGGGACGGGCGACAAAGATTGAACGATGGTCGGCGGTATAGCAGATCTGGTTTTACAGAGTAATGGATGTTGTGATGACACAGACGCAGTTATGGATGGTAATGGTAGACTCAGACTAGGTCCACGAGCCTGTAGGTGACGCTGGGCATGCTCCACTAATCGTTCTGTCACAGATTTATGTGGATGTAATCCTCTCTCAGGATGCCAGAACTTACACTTATTGCCATATGTGCATTTCTAAAAAGCAGACATTTAATTTAATCTAATTTAGGAAGCCTATATGTATAAAGAAAATTTCTTGTACATAATATATGTATGCTTTAATTTAAGAATTTTAAGTTTAAAATTTAACATTTTTAAAAATGTAATGGAAATGAATAAAAAAAGGAAAAAGAAATTACCTTAGCATAAGGACATGGAGGTGCTGGGTCAACTTTCTTGGGAGCGATCCTGAGAAAGTTCTCCAGCGTAGGTCCACTTCTACCCAGCGGATCGTCCGGTGGCATGAATCGGTCATTTACAAAACTGTACATTAGGATTTTCCCTTCAACGACCCTTCTGAACTCAGGGTTCTCCTGTGCTAAGTCCCGGTAATTATCATTGCTGACAACAATGCCATCGACTTCAGCGGCTAGCTTCAAGATGTACCGATCATCATAACATACCATACGTTTTCCCCCTACTAATCTGCGAACATTTGTACAATGACATGATATAGAAATCTTAACATTACAAAATTACAATATTACAAAAAATTTTATCAATCTTATTAAGAGAGAGATTTATTTTAAAATAACATATTTGTCTATTTACATGCAGATAGATTCAAAATATAACATGTAATCAATTAAACCATGTAATTCTTTTTTTTTCTGGCAGCGATATACTGAGAAAGACGTTTATAAAGAAAAAAAGCAGAGAATGCGTATAGGATGGGAGATTCTTGAGACGATTTAAGTCGGCGCAGATAAATTAAAATGGGGCCGGTTATTCCAGTTTTGGATTATATTAATTAATAGCAAAGCATGTCCAGATGCTGAAATGAGAGATATTTTTATTTCTTCCTCAATGATTTAATTAAATCTTAATTTTTCACTTTTAATTATCGCAATTTCTTCTTTATAATTAAGAAACATATCTTTTTTATTTATACGACTTACATATAAATTATATATTTAAACAAATATAATTTATATAATTTATTTATTTATTTTCTTGAAAATATATATTTTCAAACTTGATTTATATACAATGATTAAATTAAATTATGATACACAAATATTTGAAAAGCTTGTTTTGTACAAACAGTACAACCTTTAATAGTTATTTTATTTGTTAATAACTTTTGTATAAACAATGAGCGACAGCTTTTGGGGGTTATTTAGAGTGATGACTTCGAAAACATTCTGTCAAGAACAAGTTTATTGGGGCTGGGACCTATTTTGCATATATTTATCATTATTTAATCTATAGAGATTGATAATTCGAACAAAGTAATTTGTTAAGATAAAAAAATATTAAAAAATGTGTGACGTTTCTGAGCAATTAGACTACTTCAACCCTCTGAATCAAACAAATTTCATGCGATTATCGCACCAACCTAGAGGGTGTGAACACCAGTAAACGATCTCTCTCGAGCTCGCTCAAAATTTCCTGGTCGACAACCGGATTATCGGGTCTAAAGGCTTCTTTCCGCCATTTGGGAACAAAGACAGTGATCTCTTTGTGGCCCCTGGCACGGAACCAGTCGACACAGATTTTGATGCCACGACAGGAAAATATCTCCTTGTTGCCGTGACTCATAGCGACATTGCTGCCATCGATGACGATAGATCTCAAATCCGTCGATAAGATTCCATTCGTTACTGTTGTCGAAATCAAAATCGATCCTTCGCTTTCGTCTGTGTCCGCTTCAGTGTCTAGCAAGTTATCAGTTTCCTCGGGACCATCAATGAATTTCGGAGAACAAGTTGCTCCGAGCTTGATCAGCTCGGCTAATAATTCGTTTTGACCAGGATCCGGACCTAGCTTCTGCAAAGCTGCTTGTACCAATCTCTCGGTGTAACCCAGTTTCAGGGCGAACTCTACGCGAGCGGTGTAACCTAGATAGATATATTTTTTATGTTATCAATATAAAACTTTTTTTTCGTATCATCTTTTTTATTTTTTTTCGAACTTTTATATAGATGAGACTTTTATACAGGGTGGCCCCAAACGTTCCAGCCAGACTTTGAGATCTTATAGGAAATTTAATTCTGAACAAAAAATTTCCTATAAACATGGGTCGAAAAATGCTTTCTTAAGAAGTTATCGCTCAAAAACCTCTGAAATCGTGATTATTTTACACATTTTTCCAAATATCGAAAATGTGCGTCTTTTAAAAGTACCGAAACAAAAGTTGTAGAAAATTAAATTATCTTTCAAATAATCACGATTTCAGAGGTTTTTGAGCGATAACTTCTTAAGGGAGCATTTTTCGATCCATGTTTATAAGAAATTTTTTGTTCAGAATTAAATTTCCTATAAGATCTCAAAGTCTGGCTGGAACGTTCGGGGCCACCCTGTATAGATGAACTTTTATATGGATGAGAAGTATATTGAGCGCGAGTGACCGAAGTAGAAATTAGAAGCCTGCAAATTTGCTTGTCAAACACAAATGCTTTTATCAATAAGACTCCATACTTCACTCATCTATATATGTTCTAATAGCGCTCTACATTTGTTTTAAATTATTTTTTATATCTTCTTTGCTCGCATTTATATCTTTCTCAAATTTTTTTCTGCTTATTATTAAATTATATTAATTATAATGATTTCAGAATTTCAGAAAAAAAACAGAGAGATTCTTACCAGGGTTTTGTGTGGATGAAGGTCCATCCATAGTGACGTATTCTGCAAACTCAGCTGCTAGAGTATCAGATGCCGTGCGAGAGATATCAGCATGCACTGCGGAGGATACCTGCGATTCTGAACCTCTTATAATTGCCGTCGTCGTCATCATCGTCGTCGTTGTTGTCGTCATTGTCGTCGTTAAGTCCTCAGCTTCATAATCGCTGTCATATGAGGAATCTTCAGCGTCTGGCATACTGCTTGCATTCAATACTGTGCAGTCTATGTATCTCTGCAACAAATACGATTGTTTACATTAGTAGAATTAGCATAGTCATGATAAAAAGATTAAAAAAATAAAGAAAGAAAATTTTGAAATATATTAGACAATTTTAAATAGTTTGTTTTTTTTACATTTTATTAGTATGAAGAACGTAGTTCTTTTTACATTTTATAAGGCAACAGTCTTTAAAAAAACAGTCTGTAAAAAATAATAATTGGAAAAAGATACAGAAACAGAAATTAAAGCAATGAGCGGATTGCCCTAATCATTATCTTAAATTAAAAATGACAGCCTTATATTTGCTCGAGAATATTTTTAGGTGTAATTGATCAATTCGCTTATTGCTTAAATTTTATACATTTTTATATGTCGTCATAGAAGTGTAAACAACTATCCAAAACTAATCTTCCTTGAAATATATTTGTTAAACACTATATTTATATATGAGGCACAATGGACTTTGTCTGCGTGCCGTAGGTGGGGCTTCGCTGAGGACCGCCCTCCGTTCTTAGCATTATTATTATATTTATATATGTTAAACACAAAAATCTAAGAAACACGTATTTTTTATATGTGCGCAATTTGAGATTTAAAGGGTGAAACAACTCTCCAAAGTTAACACCAGGATTGGGTAAGTTAAATTTTTAAAAAATTAAATTGAGTTTTTAAAATTAATGTCCCAAAAATTAACTAAGTTTACGTTAAAAATTACTTAAACAAAAATTAACTCAGTTAAAGTTATGTTAAAAAACTATTAACTTATTAAAAAGTTAAAAGTTAATTATGCAAAACTACGTTTTTTACATAATTAATTTTTTAATTGTACATTTTACATTAAACTTTTTAAATTTAGATAATATAATAAAAAATAATAAAAGTCTTTTATAAGAGAGATAATGTATTTTTCCTTATATAATAATTAATAACATACATTATTTAAATATACTAGTTGTGTAATAGAGATATCATAGTGTTTAAAAACAAAACGGTTAATAAGGACTTCGGTTAAGAGGACTTTCCTGTTTAATTTGAAGTTTAGTTGCTCTACCTGCACACGTGCGTTTTATCTTTATGTTTAATTGTTAGATACTCCAACAATAAATTAAAACAATTCAAAAATATTTATTGAATTTTAATAAAAGTGTCATCTCAAAATTATGGTCCGTCATTTTTCCTCTTAAGTCATCATATACTAAACCAGTTTTTGAGAAAAACTATCTCTAAAAAAATCTGAAATTATTTCGTTAAAAATATTCAACAATTTTTTGTTTATATTTATATTTATTCTATTTATATATTATATTTTATTATATTTTTACATTATATTTGATTTTATTATATTTTGCTTCCTCATAGAGGAAGCTTTGTTTTCGTGACAAAATCTTTTTTCGAGTTTTTTATGCATATCGGTGAAAGGGTTTATTTTTTATAAAATTTTGAATCGTTTGAGAAATGTCTGTACACGCCGTAACTTTCGGAAAATTTGAGATATCGGATTAATTTTTTTTACATGAATAGAGTATTATTAAAAGATGGTTGGTACTGAATTTGGTGAGTATTGGTGAAAGGATTCATTTTTCTGAGAAATGTCTGTACACGCTGTAACTTTTAGAAAATTTGAGATATCTCACAAAGCTTCCTCTATGAGGAAGAAAAAATTGAAAAATCCGCATGCTTAAAGCAGCTTAAGCTTTGTAAGATAAAATGATGAGGAAGCAATGTGCAAGTTTCTAATTTGCACAACTCGTTACTTGTTTTATTTCATATGTATATTTAAACATGGATGTATGTATAAGATGTGTGCGTGTACATTCTCGCATATATTTCACGTATTAAAGTTTCTTGCATATTTATATATTTTTTATTAAAAAGACATTACATATTATATCTTTAGGCCGCTTCTCTTTTCTCTTTTCTCGAAAATTCACTATTCACCACTGGCTACATGTATTCACGTTTGCGCGTAATTTCTTTAGAGACGCACCTGTGCGTGCTTCCTGCCTGCGTGGAGAGATATACATATATCTACTGAGTCAGATATACAGCGTGTTAAAGAAAGGGTCACATATTTTGAGAGCAAGTATTGATCAAAACAAGAAAAAAAAAGTTTTTTTAATTTGCTTTGGTATAAGTTTGTTTTATGCAGCTTAAAGTTTGAGAAATTTTCCTTCAATAAATATATTTATTGCCAAAACGTTAGATCTGTGCATATTATATTTATTGCCAAAACGTTAGATATGTGTATATTGTGCATTTATAATAGTTAAATAGAAAATAATTCTATTTTAGCTATACGCTCTACTATTTTAATTATATATCGCGATTTATTAAATATAATTATGCTTATTATTGGAAATAATAAAATAAAAAATTTTATAATATAAATTTTTATTTAGTTGGCACAATTTTACAATGTCGTTATTTTTCTAGGAAATTAAAACAAATATTTCGTATAACAGTTTTTTTAGTTAAAATGTTTTTATTTAAATAATAATAAAATAAATAAAAGTTATAGATTTTTATTCATTTGGTGCAATTTTTTGATAGCATTATTTTTCTAAATATAATATACTGGACTGCTAACAGCAGTGTGTGCGTGCGTGTGTGTGTGTGTGTGTGTGTGTCGATGTGTGTGTGGTGTGTGTGTGTGTGTCGATGTGTGTGTGTGTGTGTGTGTCAGTGTGTGTGTATATATTTACAATAATAGGCTCTGATAATAAATATAATTTGAAGAAGACGAGCTAATTACGAGCCTCGCGCAGTAGGCTGAGCGCAAATTCTTGTTAAATTTTTTTGGTTTATTATTTAAACGAATGTACGTTTTGGTCCTATGTTTCGGATCGAAACACCGTTGTAATTATGCGTACCAATCCATCGGACGAGATACCACGAGTCCCCGAAGGCAAGGCACGACTGAAACCATACACTTTTGCCCTTTACGAATGGCACCGAAAAGAGGCGGAATTGCGCTCGTCCGTCGGGAGACGTCTTATAAGTTAGCGGAACAAAATGAGCAGAATCAATTCTAATTAATATTTTTATTTGTTGCTCATTTGTTGCTAAAAAGTTGCCAAAGAAAAAAATTTGTTGCTCTGTAAGTTTTAAAAAAAAATGATGTTCCGCTAAAGGAATATTAAGTTAGCGAAACAATATATACAGGGTGTCCCATAATTCGCGGATCACCTGTCATGTGCAGGTAGAGCACATGAAACCGAGAAGAAAAGTCCTTTACCATTTTTCGATTTTCGTAATAATTATTAAGAAATTAATTTAAAAAGATGGGCCAATCACAAGCGCGCGGCGAGAAGAGACTTCCTACACAGGCGTTGCTCGGTGCGCGGCGAAGCGGTGGAAGGGGCGCTGTATACGGCTACGTACGAGCGATTAAGCGAGCAACACATTTTTTTCTGTTGGTTTACTCTTGTAAGTTTGCACGCTGTGCGGCTTGACGGCATTATTTATATTTATTTTGCAAGCAACAAATTCGTAACTTGCATATTTCGAGAGCAACAAATTCAGACAATACATCAGTATCAAATTTAAGCGAGCAACAAATTTTTTTCTGGTAGTTTACTCTTGTAAGTTTGCACGCTGTGCGGCTTTCCGGCATTATTAATACTTATTTTGCAAGCAACAAATTAGGAACTTGCATATTTTGAGAGCAATAAATTCAGCCAATACGTCAGTACCAAATTTAAGCAAGCAACAAATTTTTTTTTAATAGTTTACTCTTGTAAGTTTGCACGTTGTGCGGCTTTCCGGCATTATTTATACTTATTTTGCAAGCAACAAATTCGAAACTTGTATATTTCGAGAGCAACAAATTCAGACAATACGTCAGTACCAAATTTAAGCGAGCAACAAACTTTTTTCTGTTGGTTCACTTTTGTAAGTTTGCACGCTGTGCGATTCGGAACTTGCATATTTCGAGAGCAACAAATTAGCAACAAATTCTTATATTATTGTTATGTACAATTTTGTTGCTATATATATATTGTTCCGCTAACTTAATCTTCCTTTAGCGGAACATCATTTTTTTTTAAAACTTACAGAGCAACAAATTTTTTTTTTGGCAACTTTTTAGCAACAAATGAGCAACAAATAAAAATATTAATTAGAATTGATTCTGCTCATTTTGTTCCGCTAACTTATAAGACGTCGTCGGGAGAGATGCTGAGTGTCTGACATATACTCAAACGCGTTTAATCTATGCTGAAGATGGTCCGAAACATAGGACCGAAACGTACGTTCGTTCAAAAAATTTTAATTAAAAAAACTTAGCGCTGCTAACTTTCAAAGTATACAGGGTAACCCATCGAAAACGAAACAGGCATGTTTTTGGTATTTAACCTCATTTGTTCGAAAAACGTTTGGACAGGTCAACTTTATTTGCAAGGGAGACATGCTAATTGGCTATTTCCGTTTACCTAACTTCAACCCCAAGAGGGAGGTTAATCTCACCCTAAAAATTTTGCCAAAAAATACGCCTATTTCGTTTGTGGTGGGCCATCTTGTATATTAAAACATCAAATAATATATTTAATTTAGTTACATCAATAACTGCAATGTATTTAAAAAATACATTATTTATAAATGTATTAAAGAATACATTAATTTTAGCATATTGTTTAGTTTAGCAGCGCCAAGTTTTTTTAATTAAAATTTTTTATCTTTTTTATTTGCATTAATTTTTAATTTTTGTATAAATTTTTAATTTTTTATATTAATTTCTAAGTTTTAATTTTTTGTAACAAGAATTTGCGCTCAGCCTACTGCGCGAGGCTCTTAATTAGTCCGTCTTCTTCAAATTATATGTATATATTTATTTAATAATTATTATTTATTTATAACAATTAAATAAAATATACACGTATTTTATTATATATATGTATGTATATACATATGTATATACATGGTGGACCATTTTAATCAATCCACGCGAATATCTTGAAAACTGAGTCCGATAGACAAAAATGTTTCAGACAAAAGTTGCATGGTTTCGAGATGTT